CTGGTTAAGGACAATGGCGAGCCTCCAATGTCGGCCACCGTCACGCTGTTGGTGCTCTTGGTAGACGGTTTCTCGCAGCCTTATCTGCCGCTCCCTGAGGTGACCTCGGAAGAGACCCAAGCGGACTCGCTCACGGTCTATTTAGTCATTGCCTTGGCTTCCGTCTCATCGCTCTTCCTGTTCTCAGTGCTTTTGTTTGTGGCGGTGCGACTGGGCAAGAGGCACAGGACGACCTCAATGAATCACCTCTCAGTGCCTCAGAGCCACTTTCCGGGCCACTTGTTAGAAGTCAGCAGGACTGGAACACTATCGCATAATTACCAGTATGAGGTTTGTCTGACAGGAGGCTCAGGGACCAGTGAGTTCAAATTTCTGAAGCCGATTTTACCCAATTTCCAAAATCATTCCCCTGGGTCAGAAATAGAAGAAAACCCCAACTTTAGGAATGATTTTGGTTTCAGTATTCAGTAACAATACTTCTTTTTCATATTACATATTTTTAAAAATTCATGGTAGATTCATGGTGATAGTTTGGGCCATCTATTGTGGATTTGAAATTGCACCAAACTTGCCTGCAAGATTTCTTATGTTATCCTTATAAAAATGTATGTTACCTTTTCTTCATGCCTGTAACAAGATTAATGATCCTAAATCTTGCCTCTTGAAACATGAAGTCAGTTTCAAGTCAAAAGTCAAGCCTTTGCTCTGAAATAGAGGAGGAATGTGTTTAGGGTGGAAAAGTGAAAAAACTAACTCTTTGCAATCACTTTTATTTTCCTGTAAACTTTTGGGTTTTTTTTAATGAGTTATAAACCATTGGAAACATACAGAGTAATAATGTATTAACATTTACACTGGAGTCTTCCTATTTGGGAAGGAAAGATTTATGCAGAGAGAAGATCTGTCCCTCATAGGCATAAAGTTCTTTGAAGTAGTTTTCCCTAATATGTTAAGCTACAAATATTATGCTAATTGTGCATCTTTTCATGAATATACCTATGTTGATTCTAATGCAACTTCATAATGCTTTTCATTGGTTTAAAAAGAGACAAGATTACTGTACCAATTTATCTTATGAGATGAAATATCATGGCAGTGAAACTGGCTTTTCCCATTTTGAGAAACATTAAACATAGTTTTTCTGTGACAGAAACTGTGACAGTAGCCACCCAATTTCTATCAATATTTTTTTTTTTTCTTTAGAAATGGATCTCAAATTTTGTTCAGGACACTAATGAGTCTGTCAAGTCTTAAGAGTAAAATTTCCCAGCCTACTTGACAGCTAGGACTGCTAATATCATGAGATGTATGTATAAATGTTATAGGAGACTTCCAGTAAGTTTGCTTTAAGGAAGATGATTTATCTAGGAAGGGGATACTTTACTTCTTTAACTGATGCATTTGAATTATGGTGTTGGCAAAATATATTGACTATACCAGGGACTGCCAGAAAAATGAACATATCTGTCTTGGAAGAAGTACAGCCAGAATGCTCATTAGGAAACAGGATGAAAAGATGCCATCTCATGTATTTTGAATATGTTATCAGGAGGGACCAGTCCATGGAAAAGAAGACATCATGCTGGGTAAAGTAGAGGGTCAGTAAAAGAGAGGATACCCTCAAAGAAATGGATTGATAATGGTTGAAACACTAGAATCTGACATAACAATTGTGAGAATAATGCAGTGTTTCATTCTGTTGTACATGAGACACTATGAGTCTGAACTGACTTGACAGCACTTTAAAACAACAACTGTTCCCCGTGTTGCTTGGAATGTAGTGTCTTGGCTACCTCGTGAACAGCCCTTTTGTACTATACAGTATCCTTAGTGATGTAAACAATGAACTCTTACTGTGTGGAATAAACTAAAAAGAGCAAGGGGTCCCTCATAATCAGTGAAGTCATTACATCATCTCTGGATTGCCTATTTTGGAACTCCTTTTACTTAATAAATAAGGAAACTTCTATCTCATTTAAATCATCATTGTTTTAGTTTTGGTGGTACTTCCAATTTTGTTGTACTTTTAGTTTGTTTTGTTTTTCATAGTAAATTTTTAGTGATATATACATACGTATGTGTGGAAAATGTACAAATCTTAAGTGTACAGTTGCTTGAATTGTTTTATTTTAATTCTATTTAAAGTTGTATTCATTATGCTTTATGCATTATATTTTTGCTCCTCTGTCAAACCATAAGGAGGTTGGCATTATTATCCCCTTTTACATATCAGGAAACTGAGTCTTTAAAAGTTGACTTACTTGCTCACAATTCTGAACAATAGGAGAATTTTAAGTTCATCCGACTCGACTCAAATGTCCATGTCTTAACCAATTTGCTATACTGTCAGACATTCATTGGTAGCATTGTTTTCCTAACTAAGGGAGTGAAATTCATCAAGTATTCCTACTGCTATTCTACAAAGTGAACTCCCCATGTGATTAAGTTGGACCAACACAGATAATTTAAAATAATTTCCCCATCTCAAGGTCTGTAACTTAATCACAGCTGCACTTTTCTTTTTGACATGTATGCTAACATATTCACAGGTTCCAGATATTAGGATATGAAAATCTTTTGAAGACCATGATTCTACCTACCACAGCCTGGCTGGTTGTAGGAGAAATTATGCAGTCTAGTAGTATCTCCTATGGTCAAAAAAAGGCACATGAAGATCTTTTTACCAGGGATTTAGGACTTATTGATTAGGTGTTTTAATCCCAGACAAAGTAATTAACAGATTTCTAAAAATTGTTAACAAAAGCAATGACTTGATAAAGATATCATGAAATCTTTACTATAATTCAGTTCAAATTATGGAAATGCCTAAACAAGAAAATCCAAATGCATGGTGGACCAATCTTGTGATCTACTTATTTGGGAAATATTTTTTTCAAAAATTTAGAAAAGCTTACAGTTCTCTTTTTGATGGCATTGGTTAAGTACTGTTTTCAGAACCTCCACTGGTTGAAAATTTACAATATCCATTCATTTGTAATTCTATGGTATGTTCTATGAAAAAATATATGGTTGTGAAACTGTTCTCGTTACTTCAGAAACATTTTGCTTATATATTTTTTTCTCAGCTTAATGTTATTTTACTTAACTGCCAACATCTCAACCATCAATAAAATGAGAGATCATTTGCTTTTGTATTCCTCCCTGTGCAGTAACACAGAGCTCTATCTGAACATATAAACATAACATGAAAAAATAACTCAGTGTTTTGTATGACATAACACAGTTGATATTGCCTGCTCAGTACATCAAGGAAATTTTTACCTTTAGAGTTAAACCAGAAAATATATACCGCAGCGAGAACACATGGTGGCGCTGCAGGTTAAGATGATGAAAAATGAATTGCCTGTGCAGTTTCCCTAAGCTGCCAAACAAAAGAAAGGCTTTCTCAACCGAGTAAAAGCGGGTGTGGACCTCCTTTTAAATCTATTCAGCGATATTTTATGACATTCTGGACTACAAGACTGTGCTACCAGGATCCTGCCCATACATGAAGCTCCTGTGAACCAAATTTGCAGGAAAGAACAATGGAGATTGGATGGATGAACAATCGAAGACAGAGGCAAGTCCTAATTTTCTTTGTTTTGCTCAGTTCGTCTAGGGCAGGCGCTGAGTTGGGGCCTTATTCAGTGATGGAAGAAATGGAGAGAGGTTCCTTTGTGGCAAACCTAGGGATAGACCTAGGGGTGGGATTGGCAGAACTGTCTACCCGAGGGACTCGGATCATTTCTCCTGGAAACAAAGAGTATTTGCAGTTGAATGTTCAGACTGGTAATTTGCTAATAAATGAGAAACTAGATAGAGAGGAGCTATGCGGCCCCGCTGAGCCTTGTCTACTACATTTCCAAGTGTTAATGGAAAATCCCTTAGAGATATTTCAGGCTGAACTGAGAGTGACAGACATAAATGATCATTCTCCAGTATTTTCCGAAAGAGAAATGACTCTAAAAATACTGGAGAACAGTCCTCTAGGAAATGCGTTTCCTCTGAAGAATGCTCTAGACTTGGATGTAGGAAGCAATAATGTTCAGACATATGAAATCAGTCCCAACTCCCATTTCCGGGTTCTAACCAGCAAGCGCAGCGACGGCAGAAAATACCCTGAACTGGTACTGGATAAAGAACTAGACCGTGAGGAGGAGCCTGAACTCAGATTAACCCTCACGGCGCTGGATGGAGGCTCTCCACCCAGGTCTGGGACCACCCAGATCCGCATTGAAGTTGTGGACATAAACGACAATGCCCCAGTGTTTGAGCAATCTCTCTACAAGGTACAGTTTCCCGAGGACAGTCCCATAGGTTCCCTGGTTGTCAAGGTCTCTGCCATTGATTTAGACAGCGGAGTCTATGGGAAAATATCATACACACTCTTTCAGCCTTCGGAAGATATTAGCAGAATTTTAGAGGTTAACCCTATCACCGGAGAAATTCGACTGACTACACAAGTAGATTATGAAACAATTCTGTTTTATGAAGTGGACATCGAGGCCACGGATGGGGGAGGTCTTTCAGGAAAAAGCACTCTTCTCCTACAGGTGGTGGATGTGAATGATAATGCCCCAGAAGTGACTATATCTGCACTCACCAGCCCCATCCCAGAAAATTCGCTTGACATTGTAGTTGCTGTTTTCAGTGTTTGGGATCCTGACTCTGGGTTAAACGGGAAGACAGTTTCCTCCATCCAAGATGGCCTTCCCTTTCTTCTGAAACCTTCAGTCAAGAATTTTTACACCCTGACAATCGAGAGCTCACTAGACAGAGAAGTAAGAGCAGAATACAATATCACCATCACTGTCACAGACTTGGGTTCCCCCAGACTGAAAACCCAACACACCATAAGGGTGTGGGTTTCAGATGTCAATGACAACGCTCCAACTTTCACTCAAGCTTCTTACACCCTGTACATCAGAGAAAACAACAGTCCTGCCCTGCACATGGGCACCATCAGCGCCACAGACCAAGACACAGGCACCAATGCCCAAATCACCTACTCACTGCTGCCACCCCAAGACCCGCACCTATCTCTCACATCTTTGGTCTCTATCAACGCGGACAATGGACACCTGTTTGCTCTGAGGTCGCTGGATTACGAGTCCTTGCGATTCTTCGAGTTCCGCGTGGGCGCTGCAGACGCAGGCTCCCCAGCGCTGAGCAGCGAGGCGCTAGTGCGCGTAGTGGTGGTGGACGACAATGACAACTCACCTTTCGTGCTGTACCCGCTTCAGAATGACTCTACGCCCTGCACTGAGCTGGTGCCCAGGGCGGCCCAGATAGACTATCTGGTGACCAAAGTGGTGGCTGTGGACGATGACTCGGGTCAGAACGCCTGGTTGTCTTACCAGCTGCTCAAGGCCACGGAACCCGGACTGTTCAGCGTGTGGGCGCACAACGGCGAGGTGCGCACCGCCAGGTTGCTGAGTGAGCGCGACGCGGCCAAGCACAGATTGGTAGTGCTCATTAAAGACAATGGCGAGCCACCGATGTCAGTCACCGTCACACTGCACGTGCTTATAGTGGACGGTTTCTCACAGCCTTACCTGCCGCTTCCAGAGGTGGCCACGGACAAGGTCCAGGAGGAGTCGCTCACTGTCTACTTAGTCATTGCATTGGCGTCGGTGTCATCCCTCTTCCTGTTCTCTGTGCTCCTGTTCATCACAGTGCGGCTCTGCAGGAGAAACAGGGCCGCCTCCATAGGTGATTTCTCGGTGCCTGAGGGCCACTTTCCAGCCCACTTGGTGGAAGTCAGCGGGACCGGCACCTTGTCCAAGAGCTACCAGTATGAAGTTTGTCTACCTGAAGCTTCTGGGACAAGCGACTTCAAGTTCCTTAAACCGATTATTTCTGACTTTCTTCCCCAAGGCGCTACTAGTGAAATTGAGGAAAACCCCACTTTTCAGAATAGTTTTGGAACTAATTATTAATAAGAACCCATCTAATAAAGGCATTTGTTCTTTAATACTTTTCTTGATGGTTAGCTAAATTGTGTGTGTGTGTAGAATAAGCACTGGACTTCAAACCACAAAATAGGCAGTTCAAACCCACCAGTTGCTCCTTGGAAATCCTATACAGGATGGTCACTAGGAGTCGGAACTGACCCAAGGCATTTAACACCACCACTACCAATAGGAGTCTTGTTATGACATTGAAGGATAAGCACTGGACTGCTAACTGCAAGGTCGGGTTAAAACCCACCAGCTACTCCTGAAAAATCCTATAGAGGGCCTAGAACTGACTGGATGACACTTAACAAGAACCATTACTACCAATATGATTTTATTTCATTTCCTCCATTTTGTTTCTTCTCAATTTCCAACCTTTTGCTGAAGTTTTTCCTCCTATTTTACCCAATGAGGTGTTTTCCCCTAGAATCTTAATGAATGAAAAAGTCTTTATTGTCAAAATGAATACCACTCAAAATATTTTCTTCTAGTTTATCTCTCTCTACATATACACATCTTTATTTGGCTTTATATCTATCATCTCTACATTATTGTTATTTCTCTTTTTCCGAGGACCTCTTCAATTTTTAAAATAATCTGTGGCATGTGATACATATATTTAGTTTTTTGATATTTCTATTTTTTCAAAATTGGTATTGTTGATTTGTCATATTTGGTTTTTATTATAACAATTTTAACTGTCATATTTTAAAACAAAGTTTTGTTGTCACTTTAGTAAATATCCTTATTTGAAATATGTTTCTATAATAAATTATATAAATAAATACCTAACAATTCTTAACAGAAAATGAAAAGAAAAACTGTTGTAAGGTATTGAGTGTGGGGGGTGTGTGTGTGTTTAAGTTTGAAGAAAAAAAGAGCAAAGTTTAGGCATTCTATAGCATTATATGACATTTTAACTAATTTTTGCTTTTAATTCTGCATGAAAAGAAAAAAATCACTTAAGTCCCTGTTGGGTTTTAACAAGCAAGCCCCTGTCTGTTTTTTTAAAAAGTCCAACAGAAGTCATTAGAGGTTTATACAGTGTGGCTTTTATAGTTAACAATTAGAGTTTTACTTTTTTTTTTTTTGGTGCTATCTAACTTTCCCCAGTATATCTCTCAATTTAGTTGTTATCTTTTGCTTATTGTGGGAAATAAGGAGCTGTGGTAGCATAGTGGTTATGAATTGGACTGCTAACCTCAGTGTCAGCAGTTCAACACTACTAGTTGTTCCAAGGGAGAAAGATGAGGCATTCTGCTCCCATAAAGATTTACAGCCTCGGAAATACTATACAGGATCGCTATGAATCAGAACCAACTCCACAGCACACCACCACCATTGTGGGAAAAATACAGTTCCCTAACATCGTTGTGGGAAAAATAGAGTTCCCTAACAGCATCGATGGACTCAAGCGTGGCAACAGTAGTGAGGATGGCTCAGGATCAGGAAGTGTTTTGTTCACTGTGCTATGAGTCAGTACCGACTCAATGGCACCTAACAACAACAACAGCTCTTAAGCATTCAAATATAATTAGATGTGAGACAGATGCTACAATGCTGTTCTTAGTTTTTTAAATGTTAAGATAGACATTGGTATAGTCTATGTATTCTTTGGACTAGTGTGACACTGTAAGATAAGCACTGGATTGTGAATCACAAGACAGGCAGTTCAAGTCCACCAGAGGCTCCTTGGAAACCCTATGCAGGGTCATTATGAGTCAACTGGCACTTAACAACAACAAAGGGACTCATAAATAAGAATACAGTGTTCAAATGATAAGGACTAAAGGGAACTGAAAATTTTTGTTTCATGTTATGTTCACCAGAGTTTGTTTATGTATGTTCTGATACAGCAAACATTTAGTGAGCAGCTGATATGTCAACAAAGATGACTAAGACATTGTTCCCATGCTCAAATAGCTTACACACTAAAGAAGGGACAAACTGGCTTAAAACATGAAGCAACAATATTTACAAGGACTGTTGTTGTTAAGTGCCTTCCAGTCAGTTCCAACTCAAAGCAACTGATTATCAATCCAGTGCTTATCCTAAAGCACCAAGGGCAATCATCGTTATATGCACAAGTTTTTATGAGACCATTGAGGAGGGACAACCTAAATACTTTGTACTCTAATATGTAGTGATGATTCTGTTAAAGCAACATAAAGAGCTTTTGAAGAAATTAGTTGAATGAAGAAGATACAAAGCAAATTTGTGTCAGTTTAGGTGCTCTTGTGCTTAGTGTTCCTAGAAAAGTAAAATGTATTTTTATAGTGTGATAAATCACCACAGTTCCCCCCTTTGGTTCCTTACATTGCATGGGAATTGTGTGAGGAATAGAAAGGCCTACTGGACTTATGGTGCGGTGCTGTGGGTTAATGCGCTGGACTGCAAAGTCAGTTTGAACCACAAGGTTGGCGGTTCAAGCTCGCTAATCGCTCCTTGGAAACCCTTATACAGGGTCACTCTGGGTTGGAACCGACTTGACGGCACTTACAACAACAGCAAAATCTAACAGTACAATGTACATTCTTACGTTTTTCAACTGTCAAATTTTTTACTTTTCCCATTAACCAGTAAAGAGTCCCAACAAACGTGAAAAGTTCTGTATCTCAACATTATTTTAAAAAACAAACAGAAGAAAAATTTAAAAAGATAAATGAAACAAACGTTTTATGAAGACACACAAAAGTACCCAACGAAAATTGAGTTTTCGGAGGCCACGAGGTGGCGCTGCAGACTAAAGAGACAAGGGTGGTGGGATGGGAACAGCAAACCAAGGATGCTACGGAAGTCGCTAACAAGAAAAGAAGACCCGGAAATAGCGCTTGGAAGAAAAGCTTTCAGTTGCCCAAGATTGGGAAAGGGGAGGGGAAAAAAAAAAAAAAATTCCTGCTACTTTAGAGTATGCATGGGTCTGGAGTTTGCGACTGTTAATTCTTTATGCTGTGCCTGTGACTGAAATTGACGAAAGCTGCTTTCAGAAAAAGCCATGGAGGACAGATGGCTGCACTTCCCGAGACAGAGGCAAGTCCTGTTAATCTTTTTATTTTGGGGCGTATCCCTGGCAGATTTTGGGTTTGGACGTTATTCCGTGACAGAGGAAACAGAGAGAGGATCGTTTGTGGTCAATTTGGAAAAGGATCTGGGACTAGAGAAGGGGGAGCTGGCTGCAAGGCATGCTCGGGTGGTGTCTGATGATAATAAACAACACTTGCTCCTGAATTCTCAAACCGGGGATTTGTTCACAAATGAGAAGCTGGATCGGGAGAAAATGTGCGGTTCCACAGAGCCCTGTATACTGTATTTCCAAATTTTAATGGATAATCCCTTTCAAATTTACCAGGCTGAGCTAAGGATTAGGGATATAAATGACCATTCACCAGTATTTCAGGACAAAGAGATGGTCTTAAAAATACTAGAAAATGCAGCTGAAGGAACAGTATTTCAACTAGAAAGAGCACAGGATTCAGATGGAGGACTTAATGGTATTCAAAAGTACACAATCAACCCCAACTCTTTTTTCCATATTAAAATGACTGACAATGAAGACGGCATCATATACCCACAGTTAGTGTTGGACAAAGCATTGGACTGGGAAGAGCAGCACGAGATCAGTTTAACACTCACAGCACTAGATGGCGGATCTCCACCTAGGTCTGGGACCACTACTGTACACATTGTGGTCGTGGACATTAATGACAATGCCCCACAATTTGGGAAGGCCATTTATGAGACCCAGGTTAGAGAGAATAGCCCTGTAGGATCCTTAATTGTTCAGGTCTCAGCCAGTGATGTAGACTCTGGAATCTATGCACAAGTATCCTATTCATTCTTTGATGCTTCTGAAGATATTAGAAAGACCTTTCAAATCAATCCTTTTTCTGGGGAAATCATTCTCAGAATGTTGCTTGATTATGAGCTAATAAAGTCTTACAAAATAAATATACAGGCAATCGATGGTGGGGGCCTATCTGCAAGATGCACCGTTTTGGTGGAAGTGTTGGACACAAATGACAATCCCCCAGAATTGATCATGTCATCATTTTCCAACTACATTGATGAGAATTCTCCTGAAACAGTACTGGCTGTTTTTAGGATTAAAGACAGAGACTCAGGAGAAAATGGAAAGATGGTTTGCTTCATTGAAGATGATCTACCGTTCCTACTGAAACCTTCCATAGAGAATTTTTACATTCTAACGACACAGGGAGCACTTGACAGAGAAAGCAGATCTGAGTACAACATCACTATCACTGTTACCGATTTAGGGACTCCAAAACTGAAAACACAGCACAGCATAACTGTGTTAATCTCCGATATCAATGACAACGCCCCAACTTTCAATCAGACCTCCTATACCCTGTTCATCCTCGAGAACAACAACCCCACCCTGCACTTGGGCACTGTTAGCGCCACAGACAGAGACTCAGGCACCAACGCTCAAATCACCTACTCGCTGCTGCCTCCCCAAGACCCACACCTCCCCCTTGCCTCCTTGGTCTCCATCAACGCAGACAATGGCCAGTTGTTCGCTCTTAGGTCTCTGGATTATGAAGTCCTGAGATCATTCGAGTTCCGCGTGGGCGCAACAGACGCAGGATCCCCAAGGCTGAGCAGCGAGGCCCTTGTTCGCGTAGTGGTGGTGGACGACAACGACAACTCGCCCTTCGTGTTGTACCCGCTGCAGAATGGCTCTGGACCCTGCACCGAGTTGGTGCCCAGGGCGGCCGAGGCAGGCTATCTGGTGACTAAGGTGGTGGCAGTGGACGGTGACTCGGGCCAGAACGCCTGGTTGTCATACCAGCTGCTCAAGGCCACAGAGCCCGGGCTGTTCAGCGTGTGGGCGCACAACGGCGAGGTGCGCACCGCCAGGCTGCTGAGCGAGCGCGATGCAGCCAAGCACAGACTGGTCGTGCTGGTTAAGGACAATGGCGAGCCTCCAATGTCGGCCACCGTCACGCTGTTGGTGCTCTTGGTAGACGGTTTCTCGCAGCCTTATCTGCCGCTCCCAGAGGTCGCCCCCGAGGAGACCCAGACCGACTCACTTACGATCTACTTGGTCATTGCGTTGGCATCGGTGTCGTCGCTTTTCTTGTTCTCTGTGCTCTTGTTTGTCGCTATGAGACTGTGCAGGAGAAATAGGGCTACTTGGGTGGGCACAGTGCCTGAGGGTCACTTTCCAAGTCACTTAGTGGACGTCAACGGCACCGGTACCCTGACCCAGAGCTACCAGTATGAAGTGTGTCTGACCGGAGCCTCAGAATCGAGTGAGTTCAAGTTCTTGAATCCAGTCATACCCAATATTCAAGCACAAGGCAGTAGAAAGAATAATGAAGAAAAGCCCAACTTTCAAAATAGCTTTGGATTTAGTATTCAGTAAATAAATAAATAAATAATCTGTTAATAGTTTCATGGATATTCAATGGGTAATACAACCACATTGAGATTTGATTTTAAACTCAAACTTACATTATTCGGCAATCTCAAGCAAAACTTATTGTACTATACCTGTTTTTACCATTTTCTTTTGTTATTCTAATGTATTAGTAACAACTTGAATTTAGTCTGTTTCTAAATAATTGTTTTAAGAATTTAATTCTCTCAAAATGTACAGAAATTTGGTTATTATTTCTCATTGCAGAAAACCGAGATTTTTTCTCCTAGCAAATATCAGAGCCTGCATCTCATGATCCCAACCACCTCTGTCTATTGCACTTTTTCTATGTGAAAAGACATATCTACATTTCCAATTTTATTCTAGCACTCTATTTATTCATGTTCACTTTTAAATCACAGAACTAATTCTCTATTACTCTGCTCAGGACAAAATGAAATAGATCACTTTGTTAGTGATATCGGACCACAATAATACCCTTGTGTTCATATTATTTTATTTCTTTTAAATACACTTGGCTAATGTTTGCTTCTGGTCACTTTTGCTGATACATACAATTCAAAAAATATATAATACCCTGCATGAAAATAGATATGAATAAAACATTTTGAAAATTTGTGTATGTATGAGAATGTTGATAGACAGTTGGAATGATTTTCACTTTTTAATTTGAAATTTTATTTTAACTATCATGTTTTTAAAAAAGAGCAAAAAGTTATCATGGGAGGACTTCCTAAACCTATAATTTCCTTCCACAGAGGAATTCTTCTAGAATGGATCATAATATTTCTAAATCATGTATTTATACTGCTATATCTTGACACTCCAACAAGATGTATTGGCATAGTGGCAGTAGCAATGGGCTCAAATGTAGCAATGATTGTGAGATGTTTGAGCAATGTTTTGTTCTGTTGTGTATAGTGTTGCTTTGAGTCAGTACCGACTCTATAGAACCTAACAATAATAACATATCTTGACATTCAAATTTACACATTAATCATTTTTAAATAAGGATTTAAAACTTTTATTTCCCAACTAATATACTCACACATAAAAACATTGCATGATCCCTTTCTATTTTCCCAATATAACTATGATTTTAAGCTAAGCTTAAATCTATGTTGCTAATGTCTATGTTGCTAAGATTATCTCAGAATACATATTAATGTACTATGATTATATTTAATTTCTTAAATGCTTCTGTCCTATAGTTACTGACTGCTTTGTAATTGCATCCATTTCTATGAACCACTAATAATTTTTTGTGTTATTTCTTATTGAAATTTCAATCTTTTCTCCTTAAAATATTCAAAGGTATCAGATACTCAATCAATTATATTTTGGGGGAGGGATCATTCATTCACCGAGAGCCCTCCATATATGTGCATCATTTACATTCATTTCTATATAGACTGTTATCCTAGGACTATTTTACTCTTTTATACTTTCCAGTACTAGCAGTCGTTTGCAAGTTCGAGTATATTCTTTCTTAATTTACACCCTTATTTAGCTAACACACACCTCTCAATACCTTCATATAAATAATTTCAGATGATGTACATTTTTTGAGACATTACATTGTGAAAATATCTTGTTCTTTTCATTTGATTGATAGTTTTACTGGGTATAAAATTGTAGGTTGAAATAATTTTTACTCAGATTTTAAAAGCACTGTTCCTTTTACTTACTGCATATAGAGCTGCTGTTCAAAAGACTCACTTCATTCTGATTCTGATCCCTTTGATGTAGCCTTCTTCCCCTACTCCCTGTCTCTAGGAGTATTGAATACTTTATTTATTTATTAAGCTGGTCACATGGGTGGACCCTGTTAACATTCAGACTCTTACTTACAGTTCTTGAAATTTGCATTATGTTTTAGCTATAATTTCTCCTTTGAGTTTTCTGTATTCTCTCTTATCCATAATATCATTAATGAAATATTGAGCCACCTGGATTAGTTCTATAAGACTCTAAATTTATTTCTTTTATAATTTTCCATCTCTTTGTTTCATGTTCTACTTTCTGTACAATTTATTTTGTTATCAAATTTTTATATATTTAAGTTTTTAAATTGACAAATACTTATTTTTTAAGAGCTTCTTTTTGGTTTTCTGACTTTTTTTCCACAGTGTTCTATTACAGATTTATTCAATGTAATATCTTCTTTTCATCTATCATTAATCTATTCTGCAAAGCTTCATTTTATAGTCAGAACTATTATTATACCTGAAGTCCCAGAATGGCACTGTAGGATAATCAATGCACAAGGCTGGCAGTTCAAACCCACCAGCCACTCCTTGGAAACCCTATACAGATCGCTATGAGTAGGAACCAACTTGACAACACTTAACAACATTATTATACCCAGGAGTCCTGATGTGGTGCTGTAGGATAAGCACTGGACTATTAACCAAAAGATAGGCAGCTCAAACCCATCAGCCATTCCTCAGGTCACTATACAGGGTCACTGTGAGTGGGAACTGACTCCATGGTACTTAATAACAACAATTATCATACCCTGGAGTCCTGGTGTGGTGCTAATAGGATAACCACTGGACTGCTAACTGCAAGGTTGGAAGTTCAAATCCACCAGCTACTCCTTGGAAACCGTATACAGGGTCGTTACAAGTCAGAACCAACTTGATGGCACTTAACAGTGACAACAATATTATTATACCCATGTTATAAATGAGAGTGAATCACCAGGATGGTAAGAATTTCTCCAAGCTCATATGTATAGCTAGTAAAGGACACTTAGCCATAAACTTTTATCTCATGATAAGAATCCCTGCTTCATATAATTACTGTTAAGATTAAATGGGTAAATACATATGAAGCACTTAGAAAAGTGGTTGGCATAGAAAATGCTCTTCGTAAGTATTAGCTTTTATTATATTTTATTTCTCTGCAGATATTAATCAGACATTTAAAAAGCTTTCTTCTGCTTTCTGTATTGTATCTTTCCTTAATTTTTTATGGTAGTGGTAATTTTGGCCTATTTCATACTACAGAATTTTCTTTAAATGTTTTGTCATTCTTGGCTGCCTTCTTATATTTAAGAACAAAGAAATATCAAAATGCTGACTAAGTTCTTTCACATGCATAAAGCCTATTGATGGAAGGGCTTCACTGTAAAGTAACCATGCTTATTGCTATTAAATGCCATAGAGTCAGTTCCAATTCACAGCGACCTATATAGGGTTTCTGAATATCAGCTGGTGGATATGAACCACATTGCAGTTTAAATTGACCTTACTAGGATAGGGTATTACTTTGGGAGGCTCTCAATTATCAGTATATGTAAGTTTTTACCTGAGACTTCCATAATCTTCAGGTTAGAAATCTATAATATCTTATGTATTAGGGCGAGGTTGGGCATGTAGCTTCTGTCCTACAAACAGAATATTTGGTAGAAAGGTACGAGAATGTAAACTTTTGCTTACTCTCCTAATGTTTAGTTTCATACATCAGATTTGCTTTCAGCCCTGCCTGGGGTATCCAAAACTATCAATACCTCTATCTAATTTCTACAAAGAATATGTTTTTCACCTCTAGTTTTGAATTGGAGTCCTGGTGTAGCTCTGTAGGATAAGCACTGAACTGCAAAGTCAGTTTGAACCACAATGTGGGTGGTCTGAACTTAACTAGGCACTCCCTGGAAATCCTATATGGGGTTATGTGTTAGAACTGACTTGACAGCACTTAACAACAATAACGGATTTCTTGTGTGGTGCTTATCCTAAGTGCCACACTTTAGAGTTGGTGGTGTGATGGTAGTGTGCCATGGCGTCGGTTCTCATAGCGACTTACGGCTATATCGGGTTTCCGAGGCTATAAATCTTTACGGGAGCAAAAAGCCTCATCTTTCTCCGGCTGGATAAGCTAGTAGTTTTGAACAGCTGTCCTTGAGGCTAATAGCCCAACTCGTAACCACTACACCACCAGAGCTCCTTCTGCCTGCCTTGAATCAAACTAGCAAGTTCTTGTTCATCTACTTGCTAAATGTTTCAGTATATTATGAGAAACTGAAAGTAAATTATGAATTTGCATAGTGTCCTATCACAATATTTTACTTCACTGCTATCAAAGTACTCTACATAAATGTTTTCTTGTACTATCACAACTATCTGTATGTTTCATATCATGATCAATCCAGTTTAAAAGGCTAAAAATTACTGTAATTCGGTTTGGTTTAACAATCAGTTATACTCTCCTCGTTTTAATCTTAAAAAAAAAAAAAAAATTACAAGCTCCTAGAGGCCAGGAGCTCTGGTAGCGTAGTGGTTACAATCGGGCTGCGAACCTCAAGGTCAGCAGTTCGAAACTACCAGTTGTTCCGCAGGAGAAAGAGGAGGCTTTCTACTCCCGTAAAGATTCACAGCCTCGGAAACCCTGTACAGGGTCTCTATGAGTCAGAACCGACTCCACGGCAAACACCAAGAGGCCAGGACTCATGACTTGTATTTATGTATTCATCACAACTGAGCACATTTGGTTATGTGCAGAGTGCGGAAGGATACTTAATAAATGTTTTAAAACAAACACAACATCACAAATTACAGATAATTTAATGCAATTAATATGAAAGAGTACTTTTTAATAGTGTAAGGGACAGAATGTATAAAGTAATATTGATTTCTGGAGGACGTCTATGTGGATGGAATTTAGGGAGCTTTCATCGAACTGTAAAAATCTGTGGAGACACGTGGTGGCGCTGCAGGATAACATCGCGGAAAAAACTAAATTGGGTAATGTTCTGGACACTGTTTACTCAGTGCACACTGAGAATTAGGACGACAGAAGGAACAGTTACAAGTGACCCAGAAGCCATTCATCTGAGTTAAAGTCTTAGACATCTGAGGATTTGATGAACACATCAGAAGCACAACACCCAGAACTGTGAAGGAATTCTGCAGGAAGCCTTTGGGAAAGGAGTTATGGAGAACGGAGGACCCGACCCTGGGCAGATAAGGCAAGTCCTTCTTCTCTTTGTCTTTTTAGGACTTTCTCAGGCAGGCTCTGACTTAGGGCGCTTTTCTGTGGCAGAGGAAATGCAGAGCAGAAGCTCTGTAGGCAATTTGGCAAAGGACTTGGGACTGGAGGTGGGGGAGCTATCCTCACGGGAGGCCCGGGTGGTCTCTAAGGATAACAAAGAACATTTGCAGCTGGATATAAAAACAGGAGATTTGCTCCTAAGTGAAACTCTAGACCGAGAAGAACTCTGTGGCTCCACCCAGCCGTGCGTACTGCATTTCCAGGTGTTAATGAAAAACCCCTTGCAGTTTTTTCGAATTGAGCTCCAGGTCAGGGACATAAATGACCACTCCCCCGTTTTCATAGAAAAAGAAATGCTCCTTGAAATCCCAGAGAATAGCCCTGTCGGTGCTGTGTTCTTACTGGAAAGTGCAAAGGATTTAGATGTAGGAATCAACACCCTAAAAAACTACACAATCAGCCCCAACTCTCATTTCCACGTTAGAATTAGAGTCAACCCAGACAATAAGAAATACCCAGAGCTGGTTTTGGATAAGGCACTGGATTACGAAGAGCAGCCTGAGCTCAGTTTCATTCTCACTGCTCTGGACGGCGGGTCTCCATCCAGATCCGGGACTGCCTTGGTTCGGGTAGTGGTTGTGGACGTTAATGACAACTCCCCTGAATTTGAACAGCCCTTTTATGAGGTGAAGATTCCAGAGGATAGCGTCATAGGCTCACCAATTGTGACCCTTTCAGCTTGGGATTTAGATTCGGGAACAAACGGTGAAATATCATACACCTTTTCCCATGCCTCAGAAGACATTAGTAAGACATTTGAAATTAATAAAAAATCTGGAGAAATTAGTTTAACAGCACTCTTGGATTTTGAAAGAACTGATTCATATTCAATACTCATTCAAGCCACAGATGGAGGTGGCCTTTTTGGAAAATCAACTGTGAGAATTCAGGTGATGGATGTGAATGACAATGCTCCTGAAGTCACTGTGTCATCAATTACCAATCCGATACCTGAAAATTCACCTGAGACTGTGGTTATGGTTTTTAGTATCCAAGACAAAGATTCTGGGGAGAATGGTAGAATGATTTGCTCTATCCCTGAAGACCTTCCATTTAAGCTAAAACCTTCTGTTGAGAATTACTACACACTGGAAACAGAGAGAACACTGGACAGAGAAAGCAGAGCCAAGTACAACATCACCATCACAGTCACAGATTTGGGCACACCCAGACTGAAAAGCCAGCACACCATAATCTTGTTAGTCTCTGATGTCAATGACAACGCACCAACCTTTTCCCAAACGTCCTACACTTTGTTCATCCGCGAGAACAACAACCCCGCCCTGCACATGGGCACAGTCCGTGCCACAGACAGAGATTCAGGCACCAACGCTCAAGTCACTTACACTGTGCTACCACCACAGGATCTACACCTCCCGCTCCCCTCTTTGGTCTCCATCAATGCGGACAATGGGCAGCTATTCGCTCTAAGGTCTCTAGATTATGAGACCCTGCGAGCGTTTGAGTTCCACGTGGGCGCAACAGACGCAGGCTCCCCAGCGCTGAGCAGTGAGGCACTGGTGCGCGTGGTGGTGGTGGACGACAACGACAACTCGCCCTTTGTGCTGTATCCGCTGCAGAACAGCTCTGCGCCATGCACAGAGTTGGTTCCCAGAGCGGCCGAGGTGGGCTATCTGGTGACCAAAGTGGTGGCAGTGGACAGCGACTCTGGACAGAATGCCTGGCTGTCCTATCAGTTGCTCAAGGCCACGGAGCCCGGGTTGTTCAGCGTGTGGGCACACAACGGCGAGGTACGCACCACTAGGCTGCTGAGCGAACGCGACGCAGCCAAGCACAGATTGGTGGTGCTGGTCAAGGACAATGGCGAGCCGCCAATGTCGGTTACTGCCATGCTGCACGTGCTCCTGGTAGACGGTTTCTCACAGTCTTACCTGCCGCTCCCAGAGGTGGCCCCTGAAGAGACCCAGGCCGACTCACTGACTATCTACTTGGTCATTGCATTGGCGTCGGTCTCATCGCTCTTCCTGTTCTCTGTGCTCCTATTCGTTGCGATGCGGCTATGCAGAAGGAACCGGGCTACCTTGAGGAGTCGCTGCTCCGTCCCTGAGGGTCACTTTCCAGATCACTTGGTGGATGTTAGCGGCACCGGGACTTTGTCTGAGAGGTACCTCTATGAGACATTTCTAACAGGAGGTTCCACAAATGAAGTCAAGTTCTTGAAGCCATTTATCCCCAACTTTCTGCCTCACGAACCTGGAAAAGAAATAGAAGAAAACCCTTCTTTCCGTAATAGCTTTGGGTGACCTAATTGACTTTTGCATTCCATATGTATTTGATTTTTGGCACTTCCAAACCAATGTTGTTTTCCCTAATTGGTGTGCATTTTAAATTGTACTGAATATTTTCTTATGTTATTCCTGCTTTTGCTTTTATATGAAACTTTATCTTGATTTGTGGTTGCAATGAGATTGTAGTTTATCCTCTAACCCAAGAGATCTTAATTTATAATTAGTTTGCCCCCTTTGTTGTTGTTGTTGTTAAGTGCCGTCGAGTCAGTTCCTACCCATAGCGACCCTGTACAGGGTTTTCAAGGGTGTAAATCTTTACGGGAGTAGAAAGCCTCATCTTTCTCCCGCGGAGCGGCTGGTAGTTTTGAACCGCTGACCTTAAGGTTTGCAGCCCGATTCATAACCACTACGCTGCCAGAGCTCCTTAAATCACCTTCTTTCCATGGAACTTTCACCTACAATTATGCTTACTGTAAAATAAAACTGATCACTTTGGAAATAAAATAAATGTTCAAGCATTTTTTCATTTGATTCTTTTTTTTTTTTTTTGCAATTTTTTCTTGTGATTTAATAATAGACTTCCATTTAGAATTGTTGTTTTTCTTTCTTTGGGTCTACTGCATTTTCTTGGTTAAGGTTTTAAAATGTTTATTATTCTTGAAAATAAGCCTGAACAATCACATCCTATCGTACAACCTTAAGTATACTCATCTAAATATACTTACCTTCTGGTAAAATTCTCAGTACTTTTTTTTTATGTGATTAAGAAGACCTTCACAGAATCTTGGGATGTGAAATTATCGTTTTCTAGGTGCCTCATGAATGTTCCAAAGTTTTAAGGCAATCCAGTGGAATACAGGCATCTGAATAATAATTTTGATAACATAAAGTGAATTTGAATGTAAATGTGTATAGTATTTTGCCTTTATTTGCTCATAATTTAATGTGAGAATTATACCCTGGACACCATTTTTCAAATAATGCATCTATTTTATGTTTGTTTTAGTAGTATTTTCATGAATTAGTCTAAAGTTATTTCTGTGTTTTCCTTCCTTTCCTCGATATTTCTTTGAAGGCAGTACCTAAGTATTCTTTTGCATTAGTTTTCAGTTAATTCCACTGCCTTGTCTTTCTCAGAAATTTTTTCTGGCCCTGCGTTTTTGGTCATTTGTTTGAGCCATTTTCTCTTGTTTCTTTGTGTGAGTTAAAATTGTCTGCTGTCACTGGGGCTTTGTTATGTTGTCATATTTGTATTTAATTGACAATTGTATGTTGATGTTTTAAGCTCTCATCAACTGTCTCTTGCAGTTGTAGTTAGAGAATGGAAGCACATGTACTATTCTCTATTTGCTGTTTGTGAACCTCATTTTAAGGTGGGTTTAGCTGATGTTGGCTACTGTCTATCATTCATCAGGCAGTACAGGAGCTGGTATTAGCTCTTGCCCAGTGAGTAGAGCTTCAGAGAGTACAGTTGTGGCTGGACTGTATGGACACTGTCTATACGGTCTCCTCTCAGGTGGGAAACAGGAGAAAACCCCCCACAGACACACACACACACACACACAAGAAAGCAAAACACAATAAACAAGCAGCCAATAATGAAAAGAGAAAATAATAAAGAAGAAAAAAAGCAATAAAAACAGACAACAACCAGTAAAAAATAATATAATACCTAGAAAGAAAAAAGAGAGTCAGTAAAATGGAGCTATAGAACAGAAAAATAAGGAAATGAGGAAGAAGAAAAAAAAACTTACAAAAACCTGGGAGAGGGAAGATGAAAAGAGAGAAAAGAAAGATGAAAAGGAAAAAATAAAAAACCAGAATGAGAGGAAATGAGAAACAAGAAAAGGAGGAAAAACAAAAGATAAGATAGGATAAAATTCAAGGGAATGGAAAGAGAAGAAGGAGAAGAAAGAATAAACAGACAAAATCAACAAAACAACAAAAGGAAAAAACTAAAATCCAAAACAAACAAAAAACAGTGCAGCTGTTGGACCTGACCTACCAGCCAAGTAGCTCACAAGGTGGTGCTGGAGGGATGTTCCTGGACCTAAATGGAGTTCCTAGAGGCCTAGGTGTTATCCAAATTCAAGATCTTCATTCCAGAAGTAGTTCATGGAGACCCTTGATGGAGCTGGTTTCAGTGTCTGTTAGGAACTCAGTACAACCAGGGTGACTGGTTATGAGGGTTTTTGCTAGACTAATGCTGGTCAGGTGGCTATGTGGTTCTATAGAACAGGAACAGAGTCTGCCTGAATCCAGGCACCAAAGCCTTGATGCCCCACCCTGCGGCTCTGAACTCTGAGAGAAAACAGGAACTGAAATTGGGGTGGATGAAGGCGAGACCTAGCCACATCGCTGGTCATTAGGCAGCTGTGGATAAAGAAGGGGTCATACTTCCCCTATGTGAATCTGCTCTGCCAGCCACCTTCTGTCGCTAAAGCTGCTCACAAAAGTTCAAAATGGGCACACTGCATCTGACCTGCCATTCACCAGTCAGGCTCCCCTCTCGCCATCTGTATATAGGGTTTCTGAGGCTGTAGTAGACAGCCTCATCTTTCTCCCGCAAAGTGACTGGTGGACTTGAACTGACAACCTTGTGGTTAGCAGTCCAGTACATAGCCTGTAGCTCCATCCACTAAACTAGTCCTGCCTATATCGCAACTATACATTGTTTTATATTTATATTTTTAAGTGTTACAAGCTTTTTTTAAAAAAAAAAAACATGGACCATGTTTTATAGTTCTTTGCATTTACTTCAAATGAATGTGTAATTGATATTTAATTTGATAAAATTATTTTACTTATTTATTTATACTAGTAGTTATATCAACACCTACATAAGAAATATAATAAAGAGACTTGCATTGACTCTGAGAAGGTAAGATAAGGTCTTAACTAAAAGAAACAGACTCATACATACTTAACTGTGTACCATTTTATGACAATTGATTTTTCTTAATGATACACACTTTTAAAAAATATTGAAGTGAAAAAGTGATGGCTTTACTATATGTGACTGAATTCAACAAGTATTTACAAGAGTGGAGGAGAGAATATATTTGTAATTACTCAAGAAACTGCCTGAAAAAAGATAATTTTTTCAGCCAAAGATATTTGAAGGATCTTTCTTGTCAGGCTTTCAAATAATTGATAATTAAAATGCAGTGTCTGGGGGAAAGACTGAGTTTAAATTAACTTGAATTGATGCTAAATTTATTTAAATAAATCAATAGATTTATTGCTAAATCTGTTTTTTGTGATACTAGTATCGTAGTATGTTTTTAAGTTCTTAACAACAACAAAGCTATTAGAGATACTTAACTGAAGTATTCAGAGGTAAAAATATATGATGTATATTCTAACTCAAGGATTCCTGATAGCGCTGCAGGTTAATGCAAGGTCGGTTTGAAGTGAAACTTTGGCAGTTCAAGCTCACCAGATACCTTTTGGAAGCTCTATACAGTCTCTGAATAAGAACTGACTCAATGGCACTTAACAACAACAATTCAACTCATTAGAGACCCTCTATAGAATTTCCGAGGCTGTAAATCTTTATGGGAGCAGGAGCAGAAAGCCTCGTCTTTCTCCTGTGGATGGGCTGGTGAATTTGAACAGCAGAGCTTGAGGACAGCAGTCCAGTGCTTATCCTACAGCACCACCAGGGCTCCTATATGATGTGTAGGGTCTGCTTTGAACGATTCCAGAAGTATTCTTAAGTTACTTGTTCTAAGAATTTTTGATTCTTAGACTTTCAGTGAAAAAAAAATTCAGAGACACATGGTGGCGCTGCAGGATAAGGTGAAAATGTGTAAGCGACGACTATGGGCTCCATTGCTCAGGGAACAGATATCGTCCCGCCCACTGAAAAAGAGCTGCTGGAGGGTTGTATAATTCCAGGAGGTTCATATAGAAAAAAAAATCAGAACTTCAGCATCCCAACCTAGGGCGGAGTTTAAAAATTTCCACCCAAGAGATTGTCTGAAGGAACCATGGAGACTAGAGAGGTTCTCGCTCTCCGGAAAAGGCAAGTTCTGATTCTCTTTGTTTTGCTGAGATTGTCTCTGGCGGGTCTTGAATCTAGGCGCTATTCTGTGGCGGAAGAAAATGAAATTGACTCCTTTGTGGCCAATCTGGCAAGGGACCTGGGGCTGAGGGTGGAGGAGCTTTCCTCACGGGAGGCACGGGTAGTTTCTGATGATAATAAAAATCATTTGCACCTTGACTTAAATACGGGGGACTTGCTCTTAAATGAGAAACTGGACCGAGAAGAGCTATGTGGCTCCACTGAGCCCTGTGTACTGCATTTTCAAGTGTTATTGAAAAATCCTTTACAGTTTTTTCGGGCTGAGCTGCACATCAAAGATATAAATGATAATTCTCCTACATTTCTGGACAAGGAGATACTTTTGAAAATATCAGAAATTACCACAATCGGAACCACATTCCTAATGGAGAGTGCTCAAGATTTGGACATTGGAAGCAACAGTCTCCAAAATTACACAATTAGCCCAAATTCACATTTCTACATTAAAATTAGAGACAGTGGTGAAGGAAAAATATACCCAGAGCTGGTCCTGGACAAATCACTGGATCATGAAGAGGAGTCTGAACTCAGATTAACACTCATAGCTCTGGATGGTGGGTCCCCTCCCAGGTCTGGGACAACCATGGTGCTCATCAAAGTCTTGGATATCAATGACAATGCCCCTGAGTTTTCACAAGGGCTCTATGAGGTGCAGGTGATGGAGGACACACCCCTTGGTTCATGGGTGATCACTGTCTCTGCTAAAGATTTGGATGCAGGAAATTATGGGAAAATATCATATACGTTTTTCCATGCATCAGAAGATATTCGTAAAACATTTGAAATCAATCCAACATCTGGGGAAGTCCATTTAAGAGCTCTCCTGGATTTTGAAGTAACACAATCCTACACCATAAATATTCAGGCAACAGATGGTGGGGGTCTTTCAGAAAAATGCATTCTTCTGGTTAAAGTATTGGATATAAATGACAACCCACCAGAAGTCACCATGTCATCAATTACAAGCAGAATTCCAGAGAACGAAGCAGAGACACTTGTGGCTGTTTTCAGTGTCCGAGACCAAGACTCTGGAGACAATGGGAGGGTGATCTGCTCTATTCAGGATGATCTCCCCTTTATGCTTAAACCGACCTTCAAGAATTTCTTCACTCTGATTTCTAAAAAAGCACTTGACAGAGAGATGAAAGCCGAGTATAACGTCACCATCACCGTCACAGACCTGGGTACTCCTAGGCTGAAAACCCAGCACAACATAACTGTTTGGATCTCAGATGTTAATGACAACGCACCAACTTTCTCCCAAACTTCTTATACCCTTTTCATCTCCGAAAACAACAGCCCCGCCCTGCTTATTGGCAGCATTAGCGCCACAGACATAGACTCTGGCACCAACGCTCAAGTTACCTACTCTCTGCTGCCAACACACGACCCACACCTCCCCCTCGCCTCACTGATCTCCATCAACGCAGACAGCGGGCATCTTTTTGCTCTGAGGTCGCTGGATTACGAGGTCTTGCGAGAATTTGAGTTCCGCGTGGGCGCGGAAGACGCAGGCTCCCCAGCGCTGAGCAGCGAGGCACTGGTGCGCGTGGTGGTGGTGGACGACAACGACAACTCGCCCTTTGTGCTGTACCCGCTGCAGAACGGCTCTGCGCCTTGCACTGAGCTGGTGCCTAGAGCGGCGGAGGCGGGCTATCTAGTGACCAAGGTGGTGGCGGTAGACAACGACTCTGGGCAGAACTCTTGGCTGTCCTACCAGTTGCTCAAGGCCACGGAGCCTGGGCTGTTCAGCGTGTGGGCGCACAATGGCGAGGTGCGCACTACCAGGCTTCTGAGCGAGCGCGATGTGGCCAAACACAGATTAGTGGTGCTGGTCAAAGACAATGGTGAGCCGCCAATGTCAACCACAGTCACACTGCACATAGTCCTGGTGGACGGCTTCTCACAACCTTATCTACCGCTTCCGGAGTTGTCCCCCGACGAGGTCCAGGACAACTCACTCACCATCTACTTGGTCATTGCGTTGGCGTCTATCTCATCGCTTTTTTTGTTCTCTGTACTCCTGTTTGTCGCTGTGAGACTGTGCAGGAGGAACAGGGCTGCTTTGGTGGGTCGCTCTCTGGTGCCTGAAATCCACTTTCAGGACCACTTGGTGGATGTTAGTGGAACTGGGACTCGGTCTCAGAGCTACCAGTATGAGGTGTGTCTGACGGGAGATTCTGGGACGAATGAGTTTAAATTTCTGAAGCCCATTATTCCCAATCTCCCAGTCTACGATTCTGATAGGAATATGAGGGAAAGTATCAACTTCCAGAATAGCTTTGGATTCAGTATTCAATAAATATATTTTAAACTTTTATTATTCTTGACATATGAAACGGCTGACATTTTGCTATTAAGTGCCCCTGAGTGGGTTCCGACTCATAGCAACCCTGTAACTGGTTTCCAATGAGCAGATGATGGGTTTGAACTGCCTGGTGTGGCATTGTAGGATCAGCACTAGACTGAAAACCTGAAGTTCAGCAGTTCAAATCCACCAGCTGCATCTAGGAAACCCTATACAGGGTCATTATGAGTCAGAACCATTTGACGACACTTAACAACAATAGTAGATTTTAGGTTGTACTAAATAGTTGCATGGAGTCCTGGTGTGGCACTGTAGGATAAGCACTGGACCACAAAGTCAGTGGTTCAAACCCACTATCTGCTCCTCAGAAACCCTGTACAGGTCTTTGTGATTTGGAAGCTACTCGATATCACTTAATAACAATAACATATAGTTGTATGCATCGTTAACATTGTTCACACACTTGAAATTTGCTTTAGGAATCATTAGTGGCTTTAAGGAGATGGAAATGTAATCTGTATGCTTTGCGGAGTTTTGAAAATTAATGTAGTCAAAAGTGTTATGTTAAGAAATTCTTATTTCCAAAATTATTGCCTTGAGATAACCTTTAAACCCTAAACTTTAAATTAAAAAATACTCCCTGAGGTATTTAAATCAAACACCACAGTGCCATCAAGTCAATTTCGACTTATAGTGACCCTGTATAGGACAGAACAGAGCTTCTCCGTAGGGCTTCTCAGACTAAACTTTTATGGGAGCAGACAATCTCATCTTTCTCCCATGGAGCAGTTGGTGGGTTTGACTGCTAACAGCCCAATGTTTAGTCCACAGCACCACCAGGGTTCCTTAACCAAACAGTAGTTTAGCTTATTACTAAAGAATGTCTGCCTTGAGCATTGTGCTCTTTTAAGAATTGTCTATATGGTGAAGCATGGAACTGAACTTACACTCATGGCTCAGCTTTTAGCCAAACAATGGACAAGCCTTTAAGATGAACAGTAAAAGCAAGGAGGCATGCATTCCTTAGAACAATCAGCCATATGAGATCAAAAGGACAGCATTATCCAAGACAAAGCTCAGAAGAATGGAAAGGATGGAAAAGAAGGACCAATGGAAACTAGAAACACAGGAATTGGACAGTGTTGTTACATTGTAAAATCCCCATTAATTGCAATCAATGTCACAAATCAAATATGTAAGAATTAATAAATTGAAAGCCAATTTGCTCTGTAAGCTTTCAAATAACAATAAAAAGTTGAAAAGAACTTATGTCTATGGGTCAAAATGACAACAAAACTGAAAAGGTTAGGATAGGCAACTTGAAGAGGCAGTGTGAGTTTATGTAATGGGGTAGGATCAATTTGGAAAAGGAGGATAAGAATGATTGCACAACATGAATTATATAATCAATGTCATTGAATTGTACATGTTGACATTGTTGAATTTATATATGCTCTAGGGTTTATATTCTCAACAACAACAACAAATCATATAGAAAGAAACTATTGCTATTTTCTTGTGACAATGCTATTATTTTGAAAGGCAATGTTCTTAAATTTTGGAGATACATACTGAAGCAATATGAATGAGTGTCACAATTTATGTCATCAAAAATATAATGCAAAAAATTTAAATGTCTTTGAATCTTGAAAATATTTTGGATTTTATCATACCATTCTATTCTTTGGACATTTTTAACATAAAACATACCACTTTCTCTATTGGGTATTAGAGAATCTTTTGTTGGTGGTGTTGTATGCTGCTGTTCAAAAGATCTTTTATGACAAAATAAAAATGACCACATTGAATTATTGATTTTCTATGTGTGTCATTTTTAAAGAACAATTTTTGTTGTTGATGCTGTTGTGGGAGACAGTCTGGATCTTGATATTTCTTGTGTGTGTGTTTTTTTTTCTTTAATTACACCATACTTACTAATTTATAACTTCTATTACTTCCCATTTGCAATTTCTTTACTAAACTAGAACATAGCTCTTGATTATCATCCTAAATGTAATAGTCTTCATCATACAAGATGAAGACTTCACAAGAAATTGAAGTGAAATTCCAAACTATTGAAGAAAATTACTAAAGTTAATTTCCTCATTCAGTCTTAAAGAATGAATATAAAATATCACTAATACTTCGTGACCCCTCAGAAAAACCCACAAAGAAGAAATATTTCTTCATTTTCAGTTTATAGAAGCCTCACTTATACTATAAATTGTGTTTTCCAATCTATAAATGGAGTCCTGGTATGAAGGATAAAGGATAAACACTGGACTGCTAACCACAAGGTCAGCGGTTCAAACCCAACAGTCACTCCTTGCTTGGAGTGCTATGAGTCAGAACCAACTCCATGGCACTCAACAGCAACAGTCTATAAATTAACAGTTTAATGGAGGATTTGAATGAACGATTTTGTTTACTGTAGTGTAGTATAGATAAGGTTAGTGTGCAATGTACATTTTTGCATGTATTGCTATAAGCTAACTATAGACGATGTAAGAAGATGGAATGTTATTGTTGTTAAATGCTGTCGAGTCGATAGCAACCCTTTAGAGGGTTTCTGAGGCTGTAAATCTTTATGGGAGCAGACCGCCTCATCTTTCAGTTATGGTGTTGGCAAATAATTTTGAAAATACCATAGACTGACAAGAACAAATAAATCTGTCTTAGAATGCCAGAATGCTCCTGATAAATGAGGATGGTGAGAATTTGTCTCTAGTATTTTGGACATATTATCAGGAGGGACCAGTCCTTGGATAAGGATATCATACTTGGAAGAGCGGAGGGTCAAGAAAAAAGAGGAAGACCTCCAACAAGATGGATTCACACAGTGGCAGAAACAATGGGCTCAAACATACAAAACAATTCTGAGAATGGTATAGAATCAGGCAGTGTTTTCTTCTGTTGTGCATAGGATTACTATAAGTTGGAACTGACTTGACAGCACTTATATCAACAACATGTGCAAAATATTGAACAAAACAGGAAGCATCTAAAAAAAAAAAAAAAGAAAGAAACAAGAAAGAAATGCACAAAATTACTGTACCAAAAAGAATTGATTGGCGTGCAACCATCTCAGAAGGTAGCATTTGATCAGGAATTGATGGTATTTAAGGAAGACATTAAAGCTTCATTGAAGACATAAGTGAAAAACATGACTCCAGGGATTGATGATGTAAATAACAATTATGATGTTTCAAGGAACAGATGTAATGCTGAAAGTGCCCACATGTCTATGCCACAAAATTTGGAAGATAGCCAAGCCAAATGACTGGACAAGATCCTTGTGCTCATTCCAAAGAAAAGTAATCAGATGGAATGTGGAAATTATCAATAATACCATTAGTGTCATACATAAGTAAAATTTGGATGAAGATCATTTTAAAATGGCTGCTGTAGCACATGAACTGAGAATTGCCAGAAATTCAAGCCAGAATCGGAAGAGGACATGGATCCAGGGCTATCTTTTCTGATGTAAGATCAATCTTGGCTGAAAACAGAAAACACAAGAAAGATGTTTTTACCTGTGTTTTATTGACCATGCAAAGGTATTTAACTGTGTGGATCATGAGAAATTATGAATAACATTCCAAAAAAGGGAACTCTAGAGCACTTAATTGTGCTTGTGGGGAACCTGTACCTAGACCAAAAAGTAGTCAATCAAACAGAACAAGGGGATATTTTTGTTATTTCAAATCAGAAAAAGGTGTGTGTCTGAGTTGTATCCTTTCAGTATGCTCATTCACTGTATACTGAGCAAATAAATCAACAAGATACACTATATGAAAAATGCAGCATTAGGATTGGAGGAAGACTTATTAACAACTGAATGTGAAGAAGATTTGAAAGATTAACTGGTAAAGACCAAAGATTAACTGCTGCTGAATGTGAAGAAGATTTGAAAGATTAACTGGTAAAGACCAAAGACTCAATTAAGACTATAATTGAAGATTGAAATTCTTCAATATGGATTATACCTCATCATAAAACAAAAATCCTCATAATTGGACCAATAAACATGATAAATGGAGAAAAGGTTAAAGTTGTCAAGAATTTCATTTTACTTGGGATCACAATCAATGCCTATGGAAGCAGTAGTCAGGAAATCAAGTTACATATTGCATTGGGAAAATCTTTTGTAAAATACTTCTTTAAAATATTAAAACAAAACAAAGATGTCACCTTTAGGACTAAAGTGTGCCTGACTCAAGCCATGGTATTTTTAATTGCACCATATGTATGTGAAAGCTGAAATGAATAAGGAAGACCAAAGAAAAATTGATGCCTCTGAATGAAGGTCTTGACAAAGAATACTGAATATACCATGTTGTTGTTGTTGTTACGTGCTGTTCAATTGGTTCTGACTCAATGCAACTCTATGAACAACAGAACAAAACATTGCCAAGTCCTGTGCCATCCTCACAATTGTTATGCTAGAGCCAATTGCTTCTACTATGGTGTTAATTCATCTCATTGGGGGTCTTTATCTTTTTTGCTGATCCTCCACTTTATCAAGCATAATAGCTTTCTCTAGGGACTGGTCCTTCCTGATAACATATCTGAAATACGAGAGATGAAGTCACTTCTTCCTGGCTTCTAAGGAGCATTCTGGCTGTACCTCTTTCAGCACAGACCTGTTTGTTCTCCTGGTAGTTCATGGTATTTTCAGTATTCTTCTCCAACACCATAACTCAAATGCATCAATTATTCAATGGTCTTCATTATTCATTGTCCAACTTCCACATGCATATGAGGCTATTGAAAATACCATGGCTTTGGTCAGGTTAACCTCAGTCCTCAACTGATATTTTTGCTCTTGATACATCTTCAAACATCTACTGTGCAGCAGTAGATCTCTGCCTAGTGCTATCCATTTGATTGCTTCCATGAGTGTTGATTGCAGATCCAAGCAAAATGAAGTCTTTTTAGAACTCCAATCTTTTCTCCATTTAACATGATGTTATTTATTGGCCCAGTAGTGAGAA